GTTACTCCTAGAGTTTCACCTTTCACACCTTGCGATGCACCCAGGAGGCACAAAGATGTATCACGACCTTAGTCGCCAGTTTTGGTGAAAGGAGATGAAGAAGGACGTAGCCGTGTTTGTGTCGAGGTGCCTTACTTGTCAACAAGTGAAGGCTGAGCATTAGAGGCCAGCAGGTTTGTTGCAACCTTTGCCTATAGCCGAGTGGAAGTGGAAGCATGTCATAATAGATTTTGTGGTGGGTCTCTTGAGGACTCAATGGGGTAATGACGCCATATGGGTGGTGGTTGACCGATTGACCAAGTTAGTGCACTTTGTATCTATGCGCACGAGTGACTCAGTAGATTATCTAGCTGACCTTTACATTAGGGACTTAGTTCAACTTCATGCGGTCCCTGTGACTATTGTTTAGGATAGAGATCCGCATTTTACGGCTCGATTGTGGCAGAGCCTGCAGAATGCCTTGGGCACTAAGTCGACTTTTAGTACTGCCCATCACCCTTAGACTGACAGGCAGTCAGAACGTACCATTTAGATCCTTGAGGATATGCTTCGAGATTGTGTCCTTGACTTTAAGGGGTCGTGGGATAGGTACTTGCCCTTAATGGAGTTTGCCTATAACAATAGCTTCTAGTCAAGTATTGGCATTGCACCATTTGAGGCCTTGTATGGTCGAATGTGTAGATCCCCTGTGTGTTGGGCCAAGGGGGGTGATGCACCTATGTTGGGTCCAGAGTTGGTTCGGGAAACGACAAAGAAAGTTGCACTTATTCGTAAGAGGTTGGTTATGGCTTAGAGTCACCAGAAAAGCTATGTTGACTGTAGGAGGAGACCGCTATCCTTTGAGGTAAGAGATCACGTCTTCTTGAAGATAACACCTATACGGGGTTTAATGAGGTTTGGGAAGAGTGGGAAGTTATCTCCTAGATTTATCGGGCCTTTTAAGATCCTAGATCGGATTGAAGAGGTAGTTTATCGCTTGGCCTTACCACCACAGCTTTTGAGGTGCCTTACTTGTCAACAAGTGAAGGCTGAGTATCAGAAGTCAGCAGGTTTGTTGCAACCCTTACCTATAACTGAGTGAAAGTGGGAGCATATCACAATGGATTTTGTTGTGGGTCTTCTAAGGACTCAACGGGGTAATGACGCCATTTGGGTGGTGGTTGACCGATTGACCAAGTCAGTGCACTTTGTATCTATGCGCACGAGTGACTCAGTAGATTATCTAGCCGACCTTTACATTAGGGACTTAGTTCAACTTCATGCGGTCCCTGTGACTATTGTTTAGGATAAAGATCCGCATTTTATGGCTCGGTTGTGGCAAAGCCTGCAAAATGCCTTGGGCACTAAGTTGACTTTTAGTACTGCCCATCACCCTTAGACTGACAGGCAGTTAGAACGTACCATTTAGATCCTTGAGGATATGCTTCGAGATTGTGTCCTTGACTTTAAGGGGTCGTGGGATAGGTACTTGCCCTTAGTGGAGTTTGCCTATAACAATAGCTTCCAGTCAAGTATTGGCATTGCACCATTTGAGGCCTTGTATGGTCGAATGTGTAGATCCCCTGTGTGTTGGGCCAAGGGGGGTGATGCACCTATGTTGAGTCCAGAGTTGGTTCGGGAAACGACGAAGAAAGTTGCACTTATTCGTAAGAGGTTGGTTATGGCTTAGAGTCACCAGAAAAGCTATGCTGACTGTAGGAGGAGACCGCTATCCTTTGGGGTGAGAGATCATTTTTTCTTGAAGATATCACCTAGACAGGGTTTGATGAGGTTTGGAAAGAGCGGGAAGTTGTCCCCTAGATTTATTGGCCCTTTTGAGATCCTAGAGCGGATTGGGGAGGTAGCCTATCGTTTGGCCTTATTACAACTTTCTGGGATTCTTAACATGTTTCATATATGTGTGCTCCGGAAGTATGAGCCAGATCCATCACATGTGTTGGATTGGACGGAGTTAGAGGTAGACGAGGATACCTCGTATGAGGACAGACCTGTTAGAGTTTTAGATACTCGAGACCAAGTCTTGCGAGACAAGACAATTCCTTTGGTAAAGGTGTTGTGCCGACACCACGGGGTTGAGGAGGTCTCTTGGGAGCGTGAGGCGAAAGTTCATGAGAAGTATCCGGACCTATTTGTTGATGTTTGAGCATGCATTAAAAGGTTTGCAATGTTAATGTAATATACACATTGTAGATGTTCTGGAAATATGAATTGTACATTCAATATTGAAAACTCGTGTGATGAATTTAGATTATTATCATTGTTTTAATTAGTTTAAACATGGTTTTAGTATTTGATTTAAAATTTCGGGGACGAAATTCCTACAGGGGGAAAGATTATAGCGATTCTGGTTTGGACCTGACCCATTTGATGTTTTAGATCCGGGTTTCATTGTCATATATAGTTATTCATGTCTCGTTTCCCCTTATCTCTCTTTGAGTTTGGCATTTGATATATGTTGATTGCGTTTCGAATAGGTTGGTAGCTTGTTTTTCAAACTGTTGTTCCCCATAATTTTGTTCATTCACTCGAGCGTCACTTCTTATGCTCGTGTAGTCTTTGTGAACTCTCAGTACTTTTGTAGGTCTGCAAAACTACTAGGAAGTGGTAATCTTCACTCAAGCGATACTTCTTGAGCTTGAGTGGTGTCGGCTTGAGCGGCCCTTGTTGAGCTCGAGCATTGGTCTTCTCTCTGTAAACCTTCTGGGAGTTTGTATTCTTTGCTCAAGTGAAGCCTCTTCCATTCGAGCGGTGCAGCTTGTTGTGTCTGGCCGCTCGAGTGACACTTCTTGTGCTTGAGCGACCTGTGCGTATATCAGTTCGTAAAGTCACTTTTTTGAATCACTTTTTCACCTCTTTCTCTCTCTAAACTTTCCAAAACCCTATTTTCTCTCACTCTCTCTCCAAAACTCTTTGTTTTCACTCGAACACTCCTACATTCATCGAGTTCCTCACCCGTGTCCCTTTGTTGAAAAGGTAGAGCACGCCGTGGGCTTTCTTTTGATCCGAATAAAGTTGGATTTCGGCATCTTCGAAGTATCCCCATTCTCTCTCTCGTCTCCTAAGCTTGAGGTAGAGATATTTCCACACTTTTTAGGAGTTGCAACTTAGTTATTTGTTATTTCTATACAATATTGCAATTTTTGAAAATTTTGGAACAAACTTAGGGTTTGAGTAAAGAAAATCAAAAGAGGGGTTAATGATTCTGATGTTGAAAATAACGTTGAGTTGGAAAAAAATGGCTGATTTTGATACTTGAGATTGATTTTGGAAAGAAAATTAATTTTTCCCTAAATGCCTCAAATGTTGATTTTATATCAATTATGAGATTGATATTGAAATTGTGAAATTGGATTGATGTTGATGAGGATGGTGGAGTTAGATATGTATTATCACTCACCTCTTGAAAATTTGGAGAGTTTATCTTTATTGATAATTATTTATCTGTTTAGAAATATCTGTTTTCGGCTATCGGTGGTGAATAACTATGACTGTTGTACAAATTGTATGAGAATTAGGAGAATTGAAACTATTTTCTCATTCATTTACATTGAGCATCATCTCACATTTATACATTGGATATGATTATCGAATTTGAGAAAAAAGGGTGAATCTGGGAAACATGTATTGTCTCGTTGAAAAAAGTTGTCCTGAGTGTCCACGGTGAAAGTCTGTAAAATGCAATAGTAGTGTTTGTATAGCTTACGTTTACATGGCTGCCAGTTTACGGTTTCCTGTGGATGAAATTTTAGTGAAAGGTTGTGTTGGCTCCAAGATTCCCAAAGTGTGATCCACTGCCCTATTTTCTATTGTAAAGGAAATGATTTATGAACCATGATATTAAATTGGCATTGCATGATTTAAAAAGAGATGTAAAATGTTTTGGCACGAGCATTGCATTTGCATTCACCTTATACCTTTGTTAAGATTCATATAATGTGTTAGATTATTTCTACTAGGCTTTGGCTTACCCTATGGGGGAAAAATATTTCAGGTGCTAATGATATGCCTCCACCAAGGCAATAGCTTGGGAGGACCTGGAGCAAGAGCTTCTTTTGTGTATTTGCTGTATTTATTTTGTACAAGCCAAGGACTTTAACTATATTAGACTTAAGTCCACTTTTGTTGTAACCAAGCATCGTCTTGGAAAGATGTAAGCCTTTAGGGCATTTCTTATTTTTTAACTTTCATCCAGTCTGTTCATTATGTCACTCATTTATAAAGATTAATTGTAAATCAATGAAAGATAATCACTTGTCATCGTGATCACTTATTGATGTTGAGTATGGATTATGATAATTATTTCAGGGTGTGACAAATTCTTCGAAGGTTGGGCAAAGTTCTTAGTGACCGAACCGAAAGACATGGACGTGCGGATCCCAAGATAGAGCTATTGCACAGAGAAAAGGCAAATCGACACTCGAGCCTACTAAGGTGGAATAACAAGTTTAGTCCATAGCTATGGAAGTTGACACATGCAGTGCCATCAACACTGTTCATCCAAGTTGCCAAACCATCTTGAGAAGACATATTAGAAACCAAAAAAAGAAAAAGATTGGAGGCAAGGAATTAAGTGGGAAGACGTTCTATGCAGAAATCCGTGTACAAGATGACATATTTATAGGCCAAGAGGAAGCTCCGACAGTTTAGGAAGAAAAACCCTATAAAGATTGTGTCAGGGTAACATGCAGCCGCACCTTCGATGCGCAGTCGCACTTACATCCATGGTCAAAAGAGACAAACATGTAAAAAGGTGCGACTACACCTCCAATATGTGGCCGCACCTTCAAGTTAGGTTTAGCAATTTAGCAGATTGGTTCAGCCGTTTTACAGGCATAATACATAGTGTTTTGAGAGTATTGGGGCATTTCAGCATCAGTTTATACTAGGTTGTTAGGTTATTTTTTCGAGTTGTAATCTTATCTTTCTTTCTAAATTCTTGTAAAGAGTCATTGCCAAATTCAATAGTGAAACACATCATCAAATGAAATAAACTTAGAAAATTGGACAAAATGATGGATTTCATTGCATACATTATAGTTTAGAAATGTACAAGAGTTTTGCAAAAACATGGGGCATCACCCAAACATCCTATACACTAGTTTTCTAAAAAAGAAAAAGAAAACCACAATTGAAAAGCAAAATCCTAGTCTAAGTAGATGAACCCTTAGGTTGGCCTTTGCCTTCTGTGTGGAGCAACCAAAGAACCTGGGATAGACGTGATAGTAGAAACTAAGTGTTGGCCTTTGCCTTCTGTGTGGAGCAACCAAAGAACCTGGGATAGACGTGATAGTAGAAACTAAGTCATTATCACTGTCATCATTATCACTGATAATGACCATGGGAGGTGTTAGAGCTTGCAAGACGAAGCGACCCACATGAGCCTATAAATTCAGACCCAAATTAGGGCAATATGTCAAAAAAAAAAAAAAAGGGAATCGCTTCAAAAGCAAGACCTCATGAATGAAATTAAAGGGAGCATCTTCACCCCCTATGTCCAAAACTCCACCTCAACTCTGACCTCAATCTCTACTGCAACATCGATTGCAACTCGGACCTCGACCGTGACCTCGGCCTCGACCTCGAAGGGGAGGTAAAGGAACTTCTCAGACCTGCAGAAGAACAAATTCTCAATACAAAGAAAAAAAAAGTATCAGAATGAAGAAGAGTGAAGTTGAAGATGGACCTTATAGTCAATTTTACGGAAATGTATAATCTCAACGCCGTTAATATCCTGATCTCTGTGAAGTCAAAGCCATTTGGCCCAATCAGAGTCGATAAGTGCATTTGGTGATAGAGGGCGTGCATTTTCGTCAGCTATGAGCAACTCAAGAGCAGATCTGAAAGAGTGAGAGAAAAAATCATCAAATCAAAGCATATCCATCTTCAATAATAGCATAATGATGAAAAATATGGAAAAACCCTTGACATTCATAAGAAAATTTAAAAAGTCACCAAGAAGGGTTTCAAAAAATCCAAGGCAAAACAATAGAAATTAGGGTTGTTCACAGGTTAGATCGAATTGGTTTTGCCGACCATCTGTGCTTGAACTGATGAACTTTAGAATGGAGTAAACTTTAATCGATCTCAATTGAACAACAGTTCAAAACCGATCGTTTTGAGTAATAGAAAAATCAGTTGGACTTTGATCAGCCCTGTACCAAACCCACCATTCACAAAATCAACACAACCGAAGAAGATCGAAGGGTTTCGTGAGAAAGGAAAGAAAATCATTATTATCATGACAATCTCACAGTTTCCGCGATGATCTTGACGCCACCACCACAATAATCTCGATGCAATCTCACAGTAGCTACCACCGATCTGGATTTTTGGACCTTGCACCATCGGATTTAAAAAATTAGGATGATCAGAGTAAGAATTGTTCATAAAGAGAATGGGGTTTTAGGGTGATGAATTTCAGATTTGAGAAGGAGGAAAGGAAGGCACATCAAAGATAGAGTGAGATACAAGAAGAGAGGAAGAGAGAAATGGAAGAACATAGAGAGAAGGTGAGAGAAATGGTGAATACATGAGAGAGAGAGTGAGAGAGAGAGAGAAGTGAACACGGGAGATAGACAGAGGATAGTGGGGTTAAGGCTGTCGTCACAATCAACTAGTGATGTCTATACTATAGGCCATACAGATAATCTGCAATTTGCACAACCAATGGATTAATGGCGTGTGTAAATGTATCATTGCAAATCATTGTCGGTCGGCTTAGTTTTGATGAACACAACCTGTTTAAGCCCAATACCCATCTGAGAAAAAGAAAATTTCCATTCTTATCAACCGTAGTCGATCGTTTAGTGCATAAAAACCGATCATTTGCTAATTTTCAAGTCAGTTTTCTTGGTTTGGGCGGGTGGTTCTGATTTTTGTACTGCCCTAATAGAAATACAAGAAAAGTAAAAGAAAAGTTGAGAAATGCAATGGTATATCTCAAATACCATGGATAGTTGAAGGAGTGGTGGAAACAACTTTCGTTTGGATAGAAATGACGAGCATCACATGAGAAAAGTATGTGTGTGAAATGAAGCACAAAGCATCAAGGAAGCACGGGAAAGGGGAAAAAAGAGAAGGGAGAGAGTCCAGAGAGATTTTCAAACAAGTATGTGTGTGAAATGAGGCTTTCAAGCGCTTCAAAACCCTTCAGGTTTGCGCGCACTGTCTTACATTGATCGAAAGTGCGGCAGCACCTCCTATGCACGGCCGCACCTTCTCGCAAACGCGCGACCGCACTTCCTAAGTTGGCACACGTGTGGCCCACATGCCCCTACACGTGTGGTAAACCCTTTCACGGGTGACCTCCCAAGGCACAGGTACGTCCTAAACTCAAGTTTAAGCATTGGCATGCCATTCAAAGCCCCATTTTTGAATTTCACATCAATTATTTGCTACATTGCACTGCATAGTTTTAGCACACTAACCACTTGGCATCTTTTTAAGCATAGAAAAACAACCTTTAAACTCCACTCCAGCTAAGTTGTTTTCAGGAAAATACTTTTGAAAAATTACACTTGGAACAATTTCAAAAGAACTTGGAATGACATGGAAAATAAAGCTTGTCATGGGTGAACAAAATTTCGCAAAATCCTGGAAACACTTGGAAAAATTCAGAAAATTTGGAAAAACTTAGAAAAATTTTAGAATATAAAGCCCATCTAGGGCGAACAAAACCTACATAACCTAAACATAAAGCCCAACAAGGGTGAACAAAACTTGCATAACCTAAATATAAAGCCCAACAAGGGCAAACAAAACCTGCATAACCTGAATATAAAGCTCAGCAAGAGCAAACATAACTTAAAAAACCCCATGCCTCATCTGGAGCGAGCATGACTTAGATCGTAATGTAGCAAACGCGAAATTGTGAAGCAACAAAATAGGAACTCATTTTACCCCCATGCCTCGTAAGGAGCGAGCATGACTTAGATCACAATGCAACGAACTCGAAATTGCAAGGTAGTAAAATTGGTACCCATTATTAAAACCCCACACCTTGTAAGGAGCGAGTGTGACTAGGATCACAAGGTAGCGAACACGAAACCAATCTAAAAATTATTAAACTCACAAAATTAGCATATTTTGGCATCATTCTAGCCACACTGCGGTGTGTATTATTTTGGAGTTTCTTTTTCCTTAGAAAATTTGCAGGGTTGGCACATTTGGCAAAAACCCGGAATGGAATGGAACTTGGCATAAACCTCGGCTTAGCAAGGTGAGTATGGCAGGTATTGCCCCCTCTCTTTGGTTACATGCATTTTGATCGATACTTGAGTGCTTGTTGCACACACTCACTCACGTATGAACTATTGCACAACTGCCTCCGAACTACATTGATCTGATTCCTTGCATCAAGGATATGCAGGCAACTTACAGGTTCGATAACTTGCATGAATGTTTAGCACCTCCTTAAACTTTAGGGTTGTGTCAACTTGGATAGTCTTGGATCTTTCACATTCTCTTTCACACAACTTCATGAGTGCTTGAGCTTTGTCAAAGAGGGGCAATTGTAGACTCCCTATTTTGTCTGGCCCTAAGACTTCGGGTGCTTGTAAGCCTCCCAATGATGAAAGGGTAATATCTCCACTCTTGGAATGTTGGAAATTGCTTAAAAATGTTGTAACACCCTATTTTAGCCAAAAATTGACTTTTTGCAAAAATGACCAAAATATCCTTGACCTGTTTTTCAGCCAAAAACCAATTTCTTGACCTCAAGAGATAGGGGAGGCTCTATTGTACTTAGATTGATGATATTTTCCAAAAGTACTGACCTATTTTTTCCAAAAACCTTCATTAAAAGGCGATTCAAGCTTACTTGGGCCATAATTAGGCAAAAGCCATGCAAAATTGCACCTGGCAATGCAAACTATAAAGCCCCAAATTTTATAATCCTTAATATAAACAAATTTATTAAATAACTTTAACATATTATCAATTTAAATCCATTTCTCATAAGATAATTCATTTAAGGAAAATAATAGTTTCTCACTAAAAGTGATATCTTTTTCACCGACATCCGGAGTTGTTTTGGGGGCAAGGTAACTTAAGTTTGGGGACCAAACTTCTTTAAGGAGGGTAGGATGTAACAACCCTCACTTTACTCTAGTCATGCTTGCAAGTATTTACATGATCTTGTCATGTTAAGTTGCATTTACAAACCTTGATTTGTTTCGTATAAGTGTTGCTTGCATGCATTGTTCCTTGCTTGGTGTGAGTTTGGCCGAGGTCATCTTAAGCCTAGGTTACACCTTTGAACTTCTTACACCTAGGACCATCTTGGAACCACTTTGGTTGACCTTCACCCTCACCCTGACATGTTGGCCGAGATGTCATTTTCTAGGCCGAGGTGTTCACCACCAAGGCTGAGATGTGTATTATCTAGGCTAAGATGTTATACCAAAGTGATCTTGTCCCTGGCCCATCCATTCATTCTTGTCAAAACGGCCTCTAACCCATCCATTTATTCTTGTCAAAACGGCCTCTGGCCCATCCATTCATTCTTGTCAAAACGGTCTCTGGCCCATCCATTTATTCTTGTCAAAACGGCCTCTGACCCATCCATTCATTCATGTCAAAACGGCCTCTGGCCCATCCATTTATTCTTGTCGAAACGGCCTCTAGACCATCCATTTATTCTTGTCGAAATGGCCTCTGGCCCATCCATTTGTTCTTGTCGAAACAGCCTCCGGCCCATCCATTTGGTGTAGCAAACATTGTCCACCAATCGAATCAACGAATCTCATAAGACTTACATGGACGCAAGCAATTGGACAATAATATATTTCAAATATCTGTGTTAAGATATTACTCACAGTAATCGGCTGATTGATTTGCCCAGGAGCTTGACCCTACACATCACATAACACATATGGGTCACAACTGATTCAATCCGTCCTTAATTCACATATTCCTCTTTAGGATTAATTCTTATTCTTCTAACTCATTTACCATGCTCAATGTATGCCTAAGAGTATTTAGAAGTGAAAGGGAACGAAAAACGGAACACAAAATGCATCTTCAAAATTGAACCCTCTCTCTCTCTAAATCCGGTTCTCTCTCTCTCCAGAGAAGAATTTCGGATGATGAGCTCAAAAAGGAACAAAGTGAGGGTGTATAATGGCCTCTAAAAGCCCCCTCTCAAATACATTATTCTAATGTAAAATAATTGAGCACTAACCCATTAATTTAATCTAATTAATTTGATCCAAATCAATTTTCAATTAAATTTCACCGCAGGCTCTAAAAATTATGACAATCGCGAGGGCGTAATCAATTTCGGGTTCTGTGGCCGATAAGTCCTTCAATTTAATTTCCAAAGCAGACAATCAAACAAATATTCCTACGGTGAACAAATAGAAATTCAAAACCACATATTTTCACATCATGGCACACAAAATCATATTAAACACATAATCACATTCATGTTAAGGACCAATTAACATATCACGGAACAGGGATATCACAGTCTTTCCCCTTTAGGATGTTTGGTCCTCCAAACTTATTTTACCTTGAGTCGAACACAATTTAGAATACTTTTCATTCAATGGTTCCAATCCTTTTTGATAGTCGTTTACTTAGTTCCAAAATGAAACAACACTCTGTTCTCAATCAGTCAGAGACTTACCTTTTCCTCCATACAAGGCTTGTATGGGGTCACACCAAAACTAGAGTGTAGGCTATGGTTGTAAGCAAGGTCTGCCAATAATAGATAGATCTTCCAAACTCCCTGAAAAATCTACTGCATATATTTGGAGCATTTCTCCTAAACGTTCTTTTTGATTATACATCAATTTGCAGATGGAAAGTAGCGCTGACTCACAATTCAATGCACATTGCCTCGCGAAGGCTTGTCAGAATTCAAACGCATTTTAGGATTCCTGTCTAAAACAATAGATACTGGGACCCCATGCAAACAAGCAATCTTATTGATATAAACAATGGCTAGTCTACAAACATCATACGAAAATTTTACAGGGAGGAAATGGGCAAACTTAGTAATTCTTCATACAATAACCCAAATGAGACTTATACCTTGGGTGCTCAAGGTAGCCCCACAATGAAATTCGTAGCCACACATTCTTATTTCCATTTTGAAATGGAGAGAGGTCAAAGTAGCCCCGTCTACATCTGAGGTTCAACTTCGACTTGTTGACACTGAAAATATTTGGACACAAATTCTACGATTTCCTTGTCACAGAAGTTCGATTCATTTCCCAACACAATTCACAATCCAATTCGGTATTTAGTTCAGTGATTCGTCATAGTTACTCAAGGTCAACCAAAAGTCTTCAGGAATATCAAGTGGATCCAGATATTGATTCCCGAATCAACAACGGTAGCATCGAAGTAATTACCCACACAATGCACATAGTCCACATATCCCCATAATACTGATTGTAAAGTACAATAACATCGAAGCAGTAGATTTCTACCACTATACACGTGTTCTCAATTCATTCAACAATTTACGGTTTACAATTCAGTTCAATATTCAATCCCCTGTTCCATCGAGTCTTTCCATATCATCTGATAGTCGTCAAAAGCATAAGGCAATTCGCATACAAACCCCCATGGCATTAAAGGTAATATTAAAAATAGCCAATCACATGTTAAACACAATTTACATATCCTCAGAGCCCCAATTGCAAAATATAATGGCACTGAGCAGTTATTTACACAAGGCGTACTGAATTCACACACTTACGGATAATCAAGGTTTCTCAAGGTTTCTTGGATGTCAATAACATCTACATAATACCAAAGGATGACATTCCGGACAAAACAAGGGAATAACCGTCTCAGAATCAAAGCACACACGTCCACGACCGTCGGTGGCCAACCCGAGATCGATTAGACAAACCCACCCGTACAAAACCGTCGGTGGCAAAAGAGATATCTCAACAAAATTCCTACATAGGCTTAACGTCCCCTAGCA